AGCTCCTTTCTCCGTCCTGCAGCAGAATTGTTATTTTGGTTCCCTTGGTGCCCACGCCAAGCCTCCATCCCGTCCAACCACCACCTGTGTGCCGGTGGACCCAACAGCAGGGCTGACCCTCAGGATGGAGCCTACGGAGAGGGTGTGGGCAGCCGAGACCATGTAGGTGACAGATCTGGGCCCCAGGCACACTGGGCCAGTGAGCTGAGAGTCACTGTAAAAGCTGAGAGGACTGTGAAAGTTAAATCTTTCTATTTATTTCAAGAAAGGACAAGGAAAGTGGACTTGGACATTTTATATGAAAACAGACAAACAGAAAATAGGACCAAACAGTTCATCACATTCATCTCAACATTGAAGTTTCAAGGCACCTACAAGAAGGAGGCCCAAGGGCGGTTCGCAGTGCACTTTGGTTTGTGTTGTCGTCGTGGTGGGTGTTTGCGTGTCTGGGGGGGAGGGGGGGAGGGAGCCTGGGGTCTGGGGGCCAGGCTGGGGCCGCCAGCCAGGTGTCTGGTGGCAGCAGGCAGGAGCAGAAGTCCCACCACTCAGACCCCCAAGACTGCTTTGCCCTTCAGAGAAAAAGGAAAAAGACAAGGAGCAGGTGGCCAAGTGGCCCCACAGGGCTGATTCTGCAGGTGGGGAAGGGCCGGGGCTCAGGGGAAGCCAGGAGTGCCCCTGGCAGGGAGCCTTCGGGTCAGAAGGGACCTTGGTCACAGGCCTGCCCTCCTTGTGCCCTCAGCTGGCCAGGCATCCACCTTCTGCAGTAGAGGGACCCACCCCACTCTCCAGGGTCCCACCAAGGACCCCTCCTGATCTCTTCCTTCTCAGACCGCCGGGGATGGATTCCACGGAGCAAAGCGCTTTAGCACAACACCCCACACGAGATACAAGGAACTTTTGAACATTGGCAAAGGAAATTGCTGTTGGTGGCTCTTAAAAAACATTTGCTCTGAGGTCCTTATGCATGGGGTTTCTTTTAGTTTACTTTTCTCCTTTGCCTCCCTGTCCACACCTGCCTGTGACAGTCATAATTAGGGGCATCCACTCCAGCCAGCAGAATCGCACCACTGCACGGTCTCTCCGGCTCGCCCGTGTTTGCAGCCGCGGCCTGTCCCCAGCCTTCAACACCATCTCTCCAGCTTCTCTCCCTCTCAGATGATAAACCTCTTCGTGAGCTGGACACCGGGTGGGCTTCTCCGCTGAGGCCGCTGGGCAGCTGGCAGGTGGTGTGCTGGGTCAGGTGAAAACATCTAAGCTCATTTCAGGGTTTTGTGTGTCTTCCTCCTGGGCACCCAGAACCTTTTGAAAACAGGGCCAGCCAGATGTGGGTGGTCTCTGGGACCCTCTGCAAGCGTGTCCTCCACACAGGGTGGGAGAGAGGCACTCTGGACCCCCGGGTCCCGGGAGGTGAGCAGGCGGTGGCCCCGTGTCCGCTGTGCCTTTGATTGTTGGCTCATGTTGCATGTTTTTCTCTGTCTTGAGGGAAAAGTCTGGTTAGTTCCTCCAGGTGGGCAGGACCTCTCAATGGGAGTGTCAGGCAAGGGGGACGCCCATTTCTCTGCCCTCCTTGTCACCCACCTGAGCTCAGCTCAGAGAGAGGGAACCGAGTCACCCAGGCTGGTGACCAGATCTCGACAAGTGGCAGGATTTCTCTATCAGGCTCACAGCTGGAGATGGGTGGGTCCCAGGGAGAGGGAAGTGAGATGCTTCAGAGAGGAGGAGCCTCTCCTGGGGCCAGACTGCCAGTGGGGCCGGTGCAGGATGAGAGAAAAGCTGTTGCCAACACACCTGCCTGAGCCCCTTGTACTGAGCCCGAGGGGCAAGTGAGGAGGGAGGAAGAGATGAGTGACACCCCTGCGTGCCAGGCGCTGTGCTGGGCCTCAGTAAGCTGGCATGGAGGCGCATAGGGTCCTAGCATCGGCTGTGAAAAAGGTTTAGGGGGGATGACAGCAAAGACCTTCCTGCAAGGACTCTCCAGGCGTGGACTTTTGGGCTTTCAGGTGTAGGGGCCGCGTGGGTGGGTGTGGGAAGGACAGGGGCCACGGCACCGTGGTGTCTCCAGTGGCCATAGTGCCTCAGGAGCTGGCTTTGCCAGGAAGTGGGGGCTGGGTCAGCCCCCCACAGGTCCCCCTGTGCCCTCAGTGTGCCCACACTGCCTTCCCAGCACAAGCTGGCAGTTCAGTAACAGGGGTTGGAGGGGGCAGTGACAGTGGTCTCCAAAAGCCCCTGGCCTGCTGGGCTCTCCAGTGGGGAGCAGGCAGCAGCTCCCCTGGGGCTGATGCTCTGTCCTGTGCACAATGTCCCCAAGGGGAGAAGTGGAGAAAGGCAGGCTTTGCTCCTGCGACATCAGGGGTCTTGGGCAAACCTGTAAATCATATTAATGTGAGAAAGTGGTCCTGACCCCAGTGATAATAGAATTTCTGAAAACTAGAGAAAAACTGTA